GCTCGGCGGCTCGGCTGCTCGGCTGCTGGGCGGCTCGGCGGCTCGGCGGCTCGGTTGCTGGGCGGCTCGGCGGCTCAGCGGCTCGGCTGCGGGGCGGCTCGGCGGCTCGGCTGCTGGGCGACCCGGCGGTCGGGCGGCTCGGTGGCGCTGGTTCAGGGCGGCGTGGCGGTCGTGGGTAGGGCGACGGGTGGGCCGCAGGTAGAGCTGCGGGAGGGCAGCAGGTAGGGCGGCTGGCGGGCCGCAGAGTAGGTCGGCGGGGCCGCGGGAGCAGGGCGGCGGGGCCGTCAAGAAGGTCGGTGGGGCCGCAACGTAGGGCGGCGGGGCCGTCGAAAGGTAGGGCGGCGGGGCCGCGAAGTAGGGCGGCGGGGCCGCAGGAGTAGGGCGGCGGGGCCGCGTTAGTAGGGCGGCGGGGTCGTCGGTGTAGGGCGGCGGGGCCGCAATGTAGGGCGGCGGGGCCGTAGGAGTAGGGCGGCGGGGCCGCGTCAGTAGGGCGGCGGGGCCGTCGGTGTAGGGCGGCGGGGCCGCGATGTAGGGCGGCGGGGACGCAGGAGTAGGGCGGCGGGGCCGCGTCAGTAGGGCGGCGGGGCCGTCGGTGTAGGGCGGCGGGGCCGCGATGTAGGGCGGCGGGGCTGCAGGAGTAGGGCGGCGGGGCCGCGTGATAGGGCGGTGGGTCCGTCGGCGTAGGGCGGCGGGGCCGCGACGTAGGGTGGCGGGGCCGCAGGAGTAGGGCGGCGAGGCCGCGAGGTAGGGCGGCGCGACAGGCCGCTGCAAGGGCGGCGCGCCACTGCCGCTAAGGCGGCTCGGCGCGACCGTAGGGTCGGCGCGACGGGCCGCTAGGGGCGACACGACGGGTCGCTAAAAAAAATGGGAGAGCGCGACTCGAGGCGCGCTTCGGTGGGCCCTAGGAACAGTCCCTAGGAGGGGACCTGCTCTGATTCCATGTGAAAATGAGAACGAGAGTGGAATGACTATGAATGAAGTGAGTACATATAGGAAACCCTAATTGGGTTGTACCCCCTATGGGATACCCCACTATAGCCTACACAAATAAGTAAGCTATAATGTTCTGACATTAGGCGTTGAAAGACAAAAAAAAAAAAAAAAAAAAAAAAAAAAAAAAAAAAAAAACAACAACAACAACAACAAGGGAGAGAGGTGAACGTATCAATATGAAAGAGAAGGGGAAGGGTGGGTAAATGGCCTACCTTGTGAGGGTTCGGCCATACACTGCCCCGTTGTTCACTAGTACATGCACTCGTATTAATAGCAACTAGAGCTGATGCAAAAAAAAAAAAAAAAAAAAAAAATCTTCACTGCCTGTGCCCTTTTTGCGACCCGTTGCACGGATCCACCGGATGGCGGGATGGGCGAGCGACACATCCCCTACGAATACGCGATCACAGATCAGCTCGTCACAAAGATGTGCGGTCGGCTACGCTTGGCATTCCCATGGTGCAGCTCATGGTGCGACAGCAGCTTCATACTCTCAGTGATACTTCACGGTTAGTGGATGCCATGGGAACTCATTCCCCCAGCGCCGTTCCAGCGCGACAATCACGCGGGCGCACAGATCCACGCCCAGTTTACCAAACAGGCTATTAGCAAGCTCCTAGAAAGCGGCGCAGCTGCTCTTGCCCCCGCGGCTCAGACCGTATGCATTAGCCCACTGAACGTGGTGGTCCAAAGAGAGAAATGCCGACTGATCCTCGACCTCCGCCAAGTGAACCTGCACCTGCGCATTCCAAAATTCAAGTACGAGGGGCTCAATCGGGTTGCGGAGATCGCTTGCGTGGGCGACTGGGTGTTCTCTATCGACCTAAAGTCTGGGTATCACCACGTGGATATTCACCCATCGTGCTGGAAGTACCTGGGATTTCGATTTGACAGAAAGACATACATATTCCACTCGCTCCCGTTCGGCCTCGCGACGGCCCCATTCGTTTTTACACAACTGATCAAACAACTCACTCGGCGCTGGCGAGCCATGGGCATACGGGTCATTCCTTATGTCGACGACATCCTCTTCCTTTGTGACACGGAAGCGAAAGCACGAGCCACATGTCAATCAATCATACATGACCTCAACAAGGCAGGGCTTGTGATCAACTCGAAAAAGTCGCATCTACAACCGACCCAGCAGTTGCGTTTCCTGGGCGTCGAGTTAGACACTGACCGTGGTCAGTTCTCTATCGGCGCTGAACGTCGAGCCTCACTACTCTCCACCCTCCAAGTCCTTCTGAGGGAAGGAAAGGCAGAACGCAAGGTCCCATTCCGTCACATCGCCAGAGTCACCGGCATGCTGGCATCCATGTCACTAGTTCTTGGGGCGACGACACGAGCGTTCAGTCAAGGCCTGCTGCAGGCAATCCAGCAGGCACCATCATGGAATAGTAAAGTGCTGCTGGACCCTATGGCGATTGAAGAACTGGACTTTTGATGCCACGAGTTCGACAAATTCAACGGCGCCCCATTTCACGTCCCCAACAGCTACGATGCCGTCATCCATGTGGATGCCAGCGCACACAGTTGGGGAGCGACGTTGGACAAGTTCCCAGGACGGAGTATCGAGGAAAGTGCGGCAATGCCGAAGCATCTACTAGAGGCATCCAGCACACAGCGAGAGATAGATGGCTTTCTATGGGCACTCCAAACGTTTTCAGAAAGAATCCGCGACCAGCACGTCCTCGCAAGGACCGATAACCAAGGCGTTTTCTTCATCCTTCGGAAAGGTGGTTCAAGGCCGACCAACCTTACAGCGACGTGCAAGTCGATCATCCAAACATGCATGACTTTTCGGATTCGGCTCGTGGTCGAATGGATCCCGCGCGAACTAAACACACGGGCGGATGAACTCTCCAAGGCGCTCGATCGTGACGACTACTCACTAAAGACACCTTGGTTCCGGCTCATCGAGCGCCGCCTGGGCCCGCACTCAATCGATCTATTCGCAAATGGGAGCAATACCAAGCTACCTCGGTTCTACTCCAAAACACCGCACCCAGACGCAGTGGCAGTCGACGCATTCTCGATCCCATGGACCTCCGAGCAGGGATACGCATTCCCTCCACCGCACTTAATCCCAGCAGTGCTCCACCATGCGAAATGAACTCACGCCGCCATCACTCTCGCCACGCCTTACTGGCCTGGCGCAATTTGGTGGCCCCTACTGCAACCCTCCCCTCCTCAATGGGCCACCTACATTCATACCCACCTCCACCTCACGCACAGTAGCCAGTGCCTGATGGCAGGCAATCACTCCAGCGCCTTCTCCGGCGACGGTTTGCCGTGTAGTCCTATGGTCGCACTACGCGTGTCATTCCCCTGCTAACTGCTTTTGCACACGATGCAGGATTGCTGGAAAAACTCAAGCATCGCCTACTAGAGATAACCACGCAAACGCGGGCCGACTCCACAATCCGTACATACGAGCCCTACTGGGTCAAGTTCCGCTCCTTTTGCCTACACCACAAGCTCAAGTTCCTCCCATGCACTAACATGACGCTCGCGCTGTACCTGGTCCACGCCATTCAACACAAGGCTACGGTGTCTGCAATTCAGTTGACATGCTCTGCAGTCAGCTTCGTGCATCGGTCGATCGGGGCATCATGCCCGTCCATCGGCGCATTCACCTCTCAAGTCAGAGATTTTGCGAAGACGGATCAGGCAAGAGAAGGCACATGGGTCCCGGTAGCGGCAAGCCCTGGCCCCTTCTGCCCACTTCGGTGCACCAAATGATTCATACACCTAGCACGATACGATCAATCGCAACAAGGCCCACTCATCCGCGTCTTTGGAACAGAGGGTGGGAAAAACGGAGCCGCCAAGTCGCCATCCTACACCACATGTCAGAATATATCTGTAACTGCCTGTAGCTGTAGTTAGTGTAGTTATTATAAACTTTGTTTGGTGGTGCACCTTCTTTGATCCTTTGCTATATGTTGCTGCCAACCTATAGTGAAACCCCCTTTTCTCCTCTCTCAACTTTCTCGACTTTCATCAACCCTAAACCTAAGCTACTAAGGCAACTAGCTATGGCTCCTAAGCCTACTAAACTCTAGGATTCTAACATGGTATTCAGAGCAGGTACGTTCCTGCTGCCTTCCTGCTTCCGCTGCCTATCGTCTTACCGCGCGCCTCGGGCGCGCGGCGTAGGCGCACGGCGATTTTCTGCCCCGCGCGTGACCTGCCCTCACGCCGCCTGCGCGCCTGCCTCACGTCCACGGGCGGGCCTGTTTTGCCCGCCCGTACCCTCCACTTCGCGGCGCCTTGCGAGGCGCCGCTCCTGCTCGTCGCGACGCACCTGCGGGACCCGGGCGTCGCCGCTCCTGCTCGTCGCGACGCCCCTGCAGGACCCGCACGGCGTCGCCTTGCTCGTCGTGACGCCCCTGCGGGACCCGCGGGGCGTCGCCACTGCTCGTCGCGGCGCCCCCTGGACGCCGCCCCTGCTCGTCGCGGTGCCCCTGGGGCGTCGCCCCTACTCGTAGCGGCACCCCTTGGGCGTCGTTCCTACTCGTCGCGGCGCCCTCCCCCCTGGCCACCGCCTCTGCCTCACCTGCACCCGCGCCAGCGTTGCAGCCGAGCGCGGGCCTACCTTGCATCAGTGCCGCCCCTGGACCTCAGCAGCCGCCACTGGAGCGGCCGCCCCAGCAGCAGCAGCGCCTGGAGCAGCCGACCCAGCAGTAGCAGCCCCTGGAGCCGCTGCCCCAACAACAGCAGCCCCTGGAGCCGCCGCCACTGCAGCGGCCGCCCCAGCAGCAGCAGCACCTGGAGCAGCCGCTCCAGCAACAGCAGCCGCCCCTGGACCCCGCAAGCCGCCCCAGCAGCAGCCCACGGCGCCGACCCCACAGCTGTATGCACCGCCGCTCCTAGACTCGGTACGGCTGCCCGTGCCTGTGCTGCCTGTTGCTGCCCGTGCCTGTGCTGCCTGTTGCTGCCTGTGCCTGTGCTGCCTGTTGCTTCCCGTGCCTGTGCTGCCCGTTGCTGCCTGTTGCTGCCCGTGCCTATGCTGCGTGTTGCTGCCCGTTGCTGCCCGTGCCTGTGCTGCCTGTCGCTGCCCGTGCATGTGCTGCCTGTTGCCGCCCGTTGCTGCCTGTGCCTGTGCTGCCCGCTGCTGCCTGCTGCTGCCCGAGCCTGTGCTGCCCGTTGCCGCCCGTTGCTGCCTGTGCTTGTGCTGCCCGTTGCCGCCCATTGCTGCCCGTGCCTGTGCTGCCCGTTGCCGCCCGTTGCTGCCCGTGCCTGTGCTGCCTGTTGCCGCCCGTTGCTGCCCGTGCCTGTGCTGCCTGTTGCTTCCCGTGCCTGTGCTGCCTGTTGCCGCCCGTTGCTGCCTGTGCCTGTGCTGCCCGTTGCTGCCTGTTGCTGCCCGTGCCTGTGCTGCCCGTTGCTACCTGTTGCTGCCTGTGTCTGTGCTGCCCGTTGCCGCCCGTTGCTGCCCGTGCCTGTGCTGCCCGTTGCCGCCCGTTGCTGCCCGTGCCTGTGCTGTCTGTTGCCGCCCATTGCTGCCCGTGCCTGTGCTGTCTGTTGCTGCCCGTGCCTGTGCTGCCTGTTGCCGCCCATGGCTGCCTTTGCCTGTGCTGCCCGTTGCCGCCCGTTGCTGCCCGTGCCTGTGCTGCCTGTTGCTGCCTGTTGCTGCCCGTGCCTGTGCTGCCCGTTGCTGCCAGTTGCTGCCCGTGCCTGTGCTGCCCGTTGCCGCCCGTTGCTGCCCGTGCCTGTGCTGCCCGTCGTGCGCCCTGCTGCTGCCCGTGCCCTTGTGCGCTCTGGTCTGCCTGCGCCCTTGTGCGCTCTGCTACTGCTCCGCGCTGTTGCCCTGCACGCGCGGCTGCCCTTCCCGTGCCTATGCTGCCCCTGCTCTTCCCCCTCCCCCTTCTTTGTCTCCCTGCTGCGCGTGCAGCCGTGGAACGGAGGCTATGGGGGTGGTGGGTATGGGGGTGATGGGTGTGTGTGATCCCCTTCCCCTCCTCCTCCTTTCTCTCCCATTGCTGCAGCTGCCGCTGGGGGGTGGGGGTGGGTGTGAGGGTGTGGGGGAGCTGGGGGAGAGGTGCTAGGGCTGTCAAGGAGTGTGGAAGGGGGAGTTGGAGGACTGAGGAAGGTTCTAGGAAGCAGCTGCCTTGGAGCCAGCAGCTTCACCTGCCAGCAGCCTCTCCTCATATATTCCCTCCTCCTCACTTGCCCTCTCCTTCTGCTGCGCTTAGTGTACCCCTTCAGGGGGTGTCTTTGCATTAGCTTCTGCTGCAGGCAGTTATGGGGGAGTGTCAAAATATATCTGTAACTGCCTGTAGCTGTAGTTAGTGTAGTTATTATAAACTTTGTTTGGTGGTGCACCTTCTTTGATCCTTTGCTATATGTTGTTGCCAACCTATAGTGAAACCCCCTTTTCTCCTCTCTCAACTTTCTTGACTTTCATCAACCCTAAACCTAAGCTACTAAGGCAACTAGCAATGGCTCCTAAGCCTACTAAACTCTAGGATTCTAACACCACAATCCGCAACTGGTGCAAAGAGGCCTTCAACAAAATCGGTCTTAGTTTCGAGCATCTCATCACCCACTCTTTTCGGAAAGGTGCAGCAACTGTCGCAGCCAACGCCGGAATATCAGACCGCATCCTGAAGCGACTAGGAAGGTGGAGCAGCGACACCGCCAAGGAGACGTACATCACGCCTGCCGCAGACCAACTGGTGGGGGCTTCGAAGCAAGTTCAAGACCCAGCACGAGCCCTCTCCCCCGCTCAACACGCCACGACAGTGGCGAGCCAACAGCGTCCAACAAGACACATGTCTCAGAAGACCCATTTGAAATGAGACGATGCCATTGCTACAACAAGAAAGCAAGCTTTCTAAAATATGAATATTTTTAAAAGTTGTAACGCTTTTCAAAATTTTGTATTTTGAAAGCGAAGCGGCTTGTAATGTAGCAATGGTTATCGGCGAACCGCGCTAAACTCCCGTTTTGGAGTACAAAACGTGGGCTGGAGGTCATTTCCCTCCACCCACGTCTTTCATTTTCAAACGGCTTAGCCTAATTTCCCGCCCACCCACCCCGTAGCACTGGGACCAATTATGGATAGTTGATTGCTTTAGAATAATTGCATGCTAGCTTGGACATGTCTGTACTTTGCCATTTGAAATGAGACGATGCCATTGCTACAACAAGAAAGCAAGCTTTCTAAAATGGAGAAGTTGTATTTGAAGGCCCAGAGGATCTACACGTCAGATTAGCTACAGCTGTTCTCATGGTTAGTCCTTGACAAAACAACTGACGGTTTTCCTTGCCTTCGTTGCAGTGTCTTCATAGGGCACGGGGAGGACGATGCTCGCTACGGCCGCAATGGGATAGGAGGTCGGGACCTCCAGATCGGGTCCTTCCGCTGGCACGAGGCGAGCGTGAAGCACGACAACGCCATGAAGAAGCAAATGGGACTGATGAAGAAAATCGAGGAGCATAAGCGCATCGATGACTTTGCGAAGGGCGATCAGGAGGGCGCACGGATTTCGCGGCTTATGCGGAGCATCGTGTTTGTGTGCAAGACGGACACGCCGATACAGATGTACCCGCGGCTCGTGCAGTTCCTTGCTAAGGAGGGCGTCGCCCACATACCGTGACAGTCTTACGGCGTGTACATCACACAGTGAGTCCCGCTGATGTTGAACGTTTTACTCGATTTCATATGTTTTTTCCAATGTGTACTAACAACTTCTCATTGTTTCTAGCCATGTATGGTTTTGCGGAAATAGTTAAGGCATTAACCACTTTCCTGCACCGCGAGCAGATGCGACACTTGCACGCGTCGCCATACATTGGCATTAGTCGCGACGAAAGCACTGACCGCACTCGTGGCAAACACATGATTTTGTTTGTCACTTTCATGAAGAACATCGTGGTGGTAACGAAGTTTCCGTCGTTACTTATCGTCAACCAGTGCGACACGGCTTCTCTGCTTGCAGTTCTACTCCAGCATCTGGAGTCCATCGGCATCGACCTGCAGAAAACCGTTGGGGTATCAACAAACGGCGCCTCTGTCATGGTTGGATCGCAAACAAGGCTTATGACGCGCCTTGAAATGCAGATTCCGCATCTCGTCGGGTGCCACTGCATTGCGCATATGTGAGTGATAATTCCTTTATTTGATATGTTCACCCTGGACCGTATCTAATGATTGTGTGTATACGATTTGTGGTTCATTTACCTTTGAACTATTTTGCAACCCCTCTGTTCCTTACCGTGCAGAGAAGCACTAGCGGTCAAAGATGTTGCAGAGGCCTTTCCATACTTCAACATCGTGGACGATGCCATCAGGGCAATCGGTTCGATCGTTGGGAAGTCAACTCCCTGGTATGAGCGGTTCAAGGAGTTGCAGCTGGTGTACCACAAGACCAACTTAGATTATCAGGGGCTCTTCAATATGCGGTGGCTGTCACGGGGGGACGCAGTGCTCCACATATGCCGAATTCTTGGGGCGGCGATCTGTCAAAAACAAGAAGTGATTGAACTATGAAACATTGGAGTACAAGTAGGAAACCCTAGAGTTGTGTACCCCTTAAAAGCTAACCAACTATAGCCTACACAGCTATAACTCATATAATGTTTGACACACCCCCATAGGCGAAGTGGGGGAGAGCAAGGGGTCACAAGACCAGTCAAGAAAGGCAAACAAACTCAGGGTGGATCACAACGTCACCACACACTCTGAGCACAAGCACAGGGCCACAGGGCCAGTTCACATGCAGAGGCATATAAGCATCACAAACAGCAAGGTGATCTCAACCTAGCAAAGCAACCAGGCAGGTATATATATAGAGATCACAGTACAGGCAAAGCCTACAGCAAGTGAGGAAAAGTGGGCACCAGCCCCAGCAAAGTGCAGAAGCGCTGATGATCACCAGGCTGAAGTGCCTTGATGAATATTTCAGCGGTGTTGGCCTGAGTGGCCACGTAACGCGGACGAAGCTGACCGCGCTGCTGCAGCTCTCGAGCCAGGAAGTAACGGAGAGTGATGTGCTTCGTTCTGTGCTCTAGTCTGTGCTCCTCACACAAGGCAATGGCAGCCTTGTTGTCGACGTACAGCACTGGAGGAGAACTAGGCCGCTCTCCCAAGTCGGTCAGCAGGTAGGTCAGCCAGCGCAACTCCTGTGTAGCCATGGCTGTGGCGTATATCTCAGCCTCACAACTGGAGCTGAGAACAGAAAACGAGCGAGTAGAACGCCAAGAAACTGAACCAGAGCCAAGGATGAAGGTGTAACCCTGTGACGACCGCTGAGTAGCCTGGTCGTCAACCCAAGAAGGGTATGAGTGCCCAGTGAGAACAATTGAGCTCCCTCCTCCAAGCACGAGCCCCATGCTCGATGTACTGCACAAGTAGCGCAATACCCTCTTTGTAGCATCCCAGTGCACCTTTCGGTGCCTGCCAGGAGCCGCGTAGCGAGCTAGAAGGCCAAGAGGGTATGCTAGGTCAGGACAAGTGCAAATCATCAGGTACATGAAGCAACCAACTAACTCTGGGTAAGGACCACTCGGCTCTACGGACTCATCCAAAGGCAGAGCTGAGAGCGAGTGACCTATAGCCAGAGGAGTGGCCTGTGCTGAGGACCAGGTGAAGCAGAAGCGCTGAAGGACCTGCTGCACCAAGTGTGACTGAGTCAGTGTGATGATGCGGCGTGCTCTGTCCCGGGTGATCTGCAAGCCAAGGTAGCTGCGCAGTTCACCCAGGTCTGTGCACGTGTATCTCTTCTGCAGCTCCGACTTCACGTGGGCGAGAGCCTCAGTGTCAGCAGTGGCAAAGACCAAGTCGTCGACGTACACGAGGATGTAGAACAGCGGCAGCGAAGTGTCGGTGCGCAGAAACAGCGAAGGGTCAGCAGTAGAGGGCGCGAACCCAAGTGCCGCAAGAGTAGTCCTTAGTGTGTTGTGCCACTCACGTGGCGCCTGGCGGAGACCGTAGACCGGCCGGCGGAGGCTCCACTGGGTACCAGGAGGAAACGACCCAGTGAAACCAGGAGGGCGGCGCAGCCGGATCTCCTCGTGCAGGCTGCCCTGCAAGAAAGTTGTGCTGAAGTCAAGAGAGTGAAGCTCGTAGTCCCGCTGAGCAGCAACGTGCAGTAGCACCCGAAGAGTGGTCATCTTCGGGGTGGGGGAGAAGGTCTGAAAGAAGTCTACTCCCTCTCGCTGGCTGAAGCCTCAAGCAATGTAACGAGCCTTGAAGACAGGTGGAGAACCCGGCGGCCGCTTCACCCTGAAAATCCACATGCCACTGACGATGTTCGCCCTAGGAGGGGGAACCTCGTCGACGTAAGTGCCAGTGGACATCCAGGATGCCATCTCTGCGTCCATGGCTGATTGCAACTGTGAGGAGTACTCACCCGCAATCGCCTCAGAGTAAGAGCGCGGGGTCGGGATGTCTGGAGCATCCGGGTCTCCCTCAGGGGCAATCAGCATGGATACGAGATGAGGCGCAGCGACTGCAAGACAATCAAGGTCCTCCTGCCTGTCCTCAAGGACGTCCGTGCCTAGAGCACACTCACCCCCGACGGACTGAGGACAGACAGACTCAGACTTAGCAACAAGACTCGCAGCATAGTCTAGACGACAGCGAGCAGCAAAGGTGACAAGCTCAGCAACTAGGGCAAACGCAGCAGCAGACTCAAAGGAAGGGTCAGTGACAGCAGTGGCCAGGAGACGCGTGACAGTAGGATTGGTAGCACGAAGAGAGTTAGACTCCGGGGCAGCAAGGACAGGAAGAGAGGACGCAGGAGGAGACGGCAGAGGGACACGCTGTGGAGCAGTGGAAGGACACAGCGTCATGAAGTGTGTGCCAGGCACAGTTGGAGGACGCTCACGCGGACCACGGCGACCAGTGCGAGCAGCACAAACCAGTGACACAGGACGAGACACAGACGACACAGGACGAGACTCAGGCTTACGACACTCTGTAAGACCGCTTGTCGGACCAGTGTAGGGAGAAGGACCAGGAAGCGGCGCGGCAGGCGGGAGCAGGGACTGCGACTGGACAGGCGGAGGACACTCTACAGAGCGAGGAGGAAAATTAGGAGGCAGCTGACCAAGAACCTGCTGAAGGAGCAGAACAAAGTACGGCCGCGGCCGTGAAGTGCCCCCAGAAGCAGCAGAGACAGCACCAGAACCTCCAGCCGAACCAGCACCAGCAGCACCTCCGGCAGCTCCAGAACCTCCAGCAGCACCGGCAGCACCTCCAGCAGCTCCAGAACCTCCAGCAGCACTAGCAGCACCTCCAGCCGCTCCAGGACCTCCAGCAGCACCAGCAGCACCTCCAGCAGCTCCAGGACCTCCAGCAGTACCAGCAGCACCTCCAGCAGCACCACCAGCACCTCCAGCAGCACCAGCACCAGCAGGACCTCCAACTGGCGGTACCTCAACACCAGGAGCTCTACTCCTGAGGCTGCAGCGCCGAGCGTACCACTCACATAGCCGTTGAGGGGAGGGAGGCTCTGGCTGCGACACTGCACCGGCGGGGCCACCAGCCCCGACTCTAGCAGACCCCCCAGCTCTAGTAGCCCCACGACGGAGGCTGTAGCGCTGGGAGTACCACTCACGCAGCTGTTATAAAGAGGGAGCGTCACCAGGCTCAGCACCCCCAGTCTCAGCACCCCTAGTCTTAGCACCTCCAGGCTAAGCACCTAAACTCTCCGCACTCACAGACTCAGCACCCCCAGTCTCCGCACCCCCAGGCTCAAAACCCCCAGTCCCCGAACCCCCTGGCTCAGCACCACCAGGCTCAGCACGCTCAGCACTTCGCGCAGGACCAGAGTCAACAGCTACCTCGACAGGCTTGACCGGGTCTACCTGGGAAACACCTGAGGGAGCAGCACCCTGGGGAGGGAGGGGGTCTACCGACGGGACACCTGGGGTGAGGAAGAGCGGCAGGGGGGGGAGCGGGGCAGTGCGGTAGGGGAAGAGACGGTAAAAGGGTACCGACTCGTCAAAGGTGACGTCCTGAGAGGCGAAGACACGGCGCGAGGTGGGGTGGTAAAACTGCCAGCCAGGCGCGTTAGGGACAAAGCCAAGGAAGACACAGGGAACGGCACGGGAGGAGAGCTGACCTGACGCAGACGCTGACGCAGCTACCTGAGGGGACTCAGTGGTCAGTGTGTACAAGTCCGACCCCGGCTGTCGAGTGAAGGTAGCCAGGTGATGACCCGTCCGGGCACACGTGCAGTGCGTCACACGCTCGTAGGCCGGGGTGAACTGGTGAACACCCGCGTCCTTCAGCGCGGAACCAGCCACCAAGTTCGTAGAGAATGAGGGGAGGTAGAGGCCCGACAGCGTGCCAGACGAGACAGCAGGACAAGGGAGGGCAGTGGTGGAGGTCGCAAGGACCGGACCCCCTGAGGGGTCAGCCAGGGAGACAGCGACCGGTCTAGGGAGCTGCTCTAGGGCAGTGCGGTCGCTGAAGAAACAGCGAGAAGCACCTAAGTCCAG